ATTTGTTGAAAATAAATCATTTAGTTTAAAGATTAAAAAATATGCTGTAATAAAGTTCATTTTGAAAATAAAATAAGCTGTTATGGAAAAAGAAATGATATGAAGACGAAGGAGTAACGAAATAAAACAATTTGTTATTACAAGGACTATTTCCATTAATAACATATCAGAGCCATTAAACAATTGATGAGTTGACAGCAATTGAAAAAGCAAGACGCTCTCGAAACGGATTTTAAAATATCAGTAAAATACATTTTTTCATCATATTAAGGATGGTAAGATGGTTGAACTTGAGGTGCGCGCGCAAAAAATATCACTGCGTACTTTGATGTTTTTTCTAAGTGTAAAACGTATAAATTAATTTAAAATTATCACAAAAAAATAAAACCGAGACAGTGACTCTTTAAAAAATTTATAAAATATAGTGCCCGACAAAATAAAATATTAACATATTTATATTGTTTTTATGTAAAAAAGCGGATTTTGGTTTTGCGGAATTACTTTGTTTTTGAAGTGGTTAATTTTGCCTCAAATTCGCACACATTTAAAAACAGCTGATAGAGACAGCAAATAAAGCTTTTAAGCTTAAATTAAATCACAAGAAAAGTGTTGTAAACAAATCTATAAAAACTAAATAAATTGTGTAATTGTGTAATTAATATAGCTAAATAACTAACAAATGCTAAATAAATAAATACGCGAAAGGACGCTAAAAATATTTATTTATAAATTTTAAGGTAAAAATTTTAAATTTAAATTTATATTATTAGTATAAATATACGCGCTAAAAATAGTATTAATTTAAAAATTAATATGACTGATGCTAATACCCCACCTCCCGGTGGTGGAAATAAAGAAAAAATGATCAAACTTGAAAAAGAAAATACAGAACTTCAGAATAAAATTAAAAAGCTTGAAAATTTATATTTATTATTATCCAATGAGTTAACTGCACTGAGAAGTGAAAACGAAAAATTAAAATCTTTTAAAAACGTACCAGAAATTGCAAAATATGAAACCGATGAGGAGGAACTTGCCAGAGAGACAGACTGGATCTTAAAAAAGAAAAGACCAACTAAAAAACGTAAGGCCGAATCCTCTCCTGAAGTATCTAGTCAAAGTAGACCTACTGTTAAAACAAATACTTGCCAAAAAGGACAAGCTGCTCCTAATAAAATTGCTCGACCTCCTCCTATTGTTATCAATGGCATAAATGATTTTAAAAAATTACATGCACAACTTATTGCAACTATAAAAAACAAGTTTTTTGTGAGACTTATAAATAATGGTTCATATAGAGTATCAATTTTTGACTCTTTTGACTATAGATCTGTCACAAAACTATTAAGCCACGAAAATATTTCCTGGTTCAGCTACGAAGACAAGCAAACTAGGCCAATAAAAGTTATTGTAAAAAATCTTCACCATTCGTGTGATCAAGAATCGATTATAAATGACTTAAACAACCAAGGTTTAAAAGCAATCGGTGCGATAAACAAACTCAAATGGAAGACTAAAGAACCGCTTGATATGTTCCTTTTGTCATTTGACTCAACCGAAGATGTGAAGAAAATCTATGAGATAAAAAGTATTCTTAACACAATTGTAAAGATTGAACCCATCAAACCGTCAAACTTAATTCCTCAATGTAAAAAATGTCAATCGTTCGGTCACACAAAAAATTTCTGTGGAAAACCTCCACGTTGTGTTAAATGCGCCGGCAAACATTTAACTTCGGAGTGCCAAAAGACAGTGTCCGATAAGCCTAAATGCTGCAACTGTGGCGAACCGCATCCAGCGAACTATCGTGGTTGTATAGTCGCTAAAGAATTACAAAAAATAAAATTAAAAAACAAAGCTGACAAAACTAAGGCTGACGAAAATAATCAAGTTGCTGTAACAAAAAGTAAATCCAAAATTACTGGACCTACTAGTGTTAGAACAGTCACTTACGCCCAAACTGTAAAGGGACCCATTCAAAGTACTGAGTCACAAAGCAACAACGCGTTGTCAATTATCTTAACAAAACTTAATCTACAAGAAGAGGTATTTAAAACGCTCGAACAACGTCTAAGCGTGCTAGAGCACAATATGCAATTTTTAGATTATGACTAATCGTTTGAAACTATTCTTATGGAATGCGAATGGCTTAACAAAACATAAAAATGAACTCGAAGTCGTATTAAATAGCGAAAACATTGATATCGGTTTAATCGCTGAAACTCATTTTACTAAGCAATCGCACATAACGTTTAAAAACTATATTCTATACCATACCATACATCCTGATAATTGCGCTAGGGGTGGCAGCGCTGTCATAATTAGAAACTCGATAAAACATCACTTACTAGAACAATATAGCACAATCGAATTTCAAGCTACTTCTGTTTCCGTGGAAACCTTTAATCAGCCGCTGGTCGTAACTGCATTATATAGTCCTCCCAGGCATCAGTTGAAGTGTGCAGACTACTTATCTCTCTTTAACCGGTTTCAAGGCCGTTTTATAATTGGAGGAGACTTCAATGCAAAAAATACGTTTTGGGGCTCAAGACTTAATACAACCAAAGGAAGAGAAATGTACAAAGCCATGCAACTCGCAGCTTGTAATTCAATTTCAACAGGTAAACCAACGTACTGGCCGTCG